ACACACACACACACACACACACACACACACACACACACACCAGCAGGGACCCATGGTCAAGGCCAGGACACCTGGCAGGATTCACCTTCCCATCCCAACCTCGGCTATCCATGCTGCATGCCAACACAGCCTGCCCCAGACTCCTCTCACCTGAAATGTTTTCTCTGGAAGCTACCCTGACCCCTAAGAGGGGTTATCGCTACCACCCACCACCCCAACACCATATGCATAGCTCTGAGGGGGTGTAGGAACAGGACTCAGAAGTCTGGCTAGAAGACAGGAGTCTTCCTGCCTTTACCTGGAAGACTAGGGTTCCATTCCCTGTTCAGCCCAGTAACTTTGGACGAATCATTTTACTCTTCTGAACCTCTGCTTTGAAAACCGAGCCCTCAGGAAAGGGTGAACATCTTCTAGATCAACCCAAACCACAGGCCAGAGCCAGGGCAGGGCGCTGAGCTGTTGTATTGGGCTGTGCTGAGTGCCAGGCCCAGTGCTAGATGGAGATATAGGAAGAACTGCCAAGCCGGAGCCCACTGCAAGATCCTGTCTTTGAACTTAACTCAGCCTATGCCCCTTGGCAAGTTCTGGTCCTGAGTGAAGAGGCTTGACCAGGCTCCACAGGGCTCTCCCGTCTCTGAGGTCTCCTATTTCTTTTAGCCCAGGTTTCTGTCCCACAGTGGCAGTCCCAGGACGGGGAAGAAGCCGTGATTACCTTCACCTCAACTGATGCACACAGGAAGCCAGCAACCTAGCCTGCACACCAGGCATATTCCTCACTGCCAGCCCCTAGTGTGGGTCTGTGGGTCACCCAGGAACGGACTGTAGAAACTAGTAACGGAGGGATTCTTTGCCACTCAGCAACTTGAAGCAAATGTGCATCTGTCATGCTTCCTAGGTAGGGAAGGGTGTGTGTGTGTGTGTGTGTGTGTGAAGAGATGCAGAATCTGTAAGAGCAAGGAGCAAGAAAGAAAGAGATCAGGGAGGATTTGGGGTGCAGAGCCCCTCTCAATGGTTGGCTTTGGTCTTGTACTAATGACGGCTGACTCGGCACTGTGTAACTAGGGTTCAGCAGGACGCTGACCAGCTGTTATCTATTTTTTTTTTCCTTTGGAGTCCATAGGCGGCGCAAGAGCTGTCTCTAGTCAGCTGATGAGAAGCAGGGAGCAGGAAAGGTGGCCTATCTGGCTATGGAAAGAATAAGAACCACCCCGTACCCGCGGTGAGCTCTCCCGGAAGGCAGTGTTCAGCCACCAACCCCCTGCTCTCCCCCCAGCATGCTTCCCAGGGAGAGTCTGGGGCTGGGATGCGGCTCAGTGGGAGAGCATTTGCCTCCCGTTCTCAAGGCCCTGGGTTTGGTCTCCAGCCCTGCCAATGTGGTAGTGGACCTCACCAGTCACGAACTTTGAGGTCCTCAAATCTGTGGCAGAGTAGATGGGATCCCCTGCCTCAGGGCTTCCCATCAGACTCCTGGCAAAGTCTCTGCCTCCTACTCTGCTCTACACTCCTAAAAAAAAAAAAAAAAAAAAAGCCACACTCCAGAGGTGTTCAGGGGAGAGCGTGTGTTTATTGTAGCCAACAGCTCCAAGCAATTGGACAAACTGCTAAAGAAACCCAGTCTTCTCCCAGAAGGAGACCCGGCTGAGTCCCACGGGAACCACTTCAGCTTCTCTTTCCCCCTTCTGACCGCCGCAGCCGCACGTGTAAGAGCTGGCCAGCATCCGAGCATCCGTCCTTGTTAAGTATCTGGGCTTTCCCCTCCAAACACATGGAGAGCAGAAAGAACATTCCAGAATTTGCCTTTGGTGAATCAACTCAAAACACTAAGAAGTGATTACACCCTCCCCCAGCAATGTAATGTTGGGGTAGGTGTCGTGAGATGTTTTATATTTGTATATATAATATATCTATCCCTATACAGAAAAGCTATGTACAAGTGCATTAGCAAGCTTCGTTAAAGGAAGACACTAGCAAGAGGCACAGCAAGGGACACAGGCTGTCTAACCTTAAGACATCAGTAGGAAGAAAGATTTCTTCATTTATTATCCATTCTAACTCTGCCAAACCATTCTGATTAGCCTGGAACTTTTTTTAATAAAACACCTGGCCACTATATCCAATTGTCTACCCGCTTCACCTGACCTTGTCCATATTTTCCAGCCCAACTGCCCTAAGGAGACTCACAGAAAGAAAGATGGACCCAAAAGAGCTTTCTCCTTTTTTTTATACACTGGGAATAAGTGATGAGTCCATTGCTGGAGGGGCAGAGTGAGCCATTTCCAAAGCCAGCTCCAAGGCACCTCAAGGCATTTCAATCCTGAAAACAAATGTGCTTGCTTCTTATGAGCTAAACCCCACAGGTTAGCCAGCCTGTCGCTCTTGGCAGTGGCCCTTAATTAACAGGGAAGGACAGAGGGGTGGGAGAGGGGGGTCTAAGAGAACAGGAGAGGCAAGAGCAGCTGAGAACCCAGCAGACTGAAACCAGCAGTGGTGAGAGCATGCAGCCAGAAGTGGGGCTCGAACCCCAGCCTGCAGCAAGAGGATAAAGCAGGAAGCAGGGTAGACCAGTAGCTGCTGTGGAAACATCTGGCCGCTTTCCCACCTCAACTCACAGGAAGCCTCCTCTTGCTCCCCATCTCCCTGGCCCTGAGGAGAGTCTAAGAGGCTTGAGAAGAAAAGTGCATGTGCAATTCAAGCACCCGGGGCGGAGATGGCTCCTCACCCCACCCCACCGGCTTGGGCTGCTGGACGGAAATGGGACACGCATGGCTCTCCCTGGGATCTGCATGGGACAGGGAAGGAAAAGACTCAAGGAGTCTTCAGCTTCCTGAAGGAGATTTAGGACCTCTGAGAATGACCCTAGGGAATCTTGCAAATGCTTCCAGTTCTGGAGGAAGGAACAACAACAAGAACAAAAACAAACCCCACAAGATGCCCAGCCCAGAGCCTCACTCAACCTGAGGGAGGACAGCACAGGAGGTGGCCACAAAATGAAATGTGCGGACTGTAGGTATGTACACTGCAACTTGGTCCCAGCACGCTCATGGCGTCCACTCCCAGCTGGCAGCTCCAGGCACCCTGGAGCTAACTCATGCCCATTGGCAGTGTGTGGATTGGCAGTTAGATCTTGAGCTGATGAACTTAGAATTCCCAAAAGGGCTCGACTCACCTTACCCAGGAGTTCTCCAGCTGGTTTCCCACCTTCCACTCTGTGCCCACCTTGCCTGGCCTCCACACCCCTGATCCAGTGGCATCTCTGCGCCACGCTTCTTTTCCTCCCTTCCCAACGTCCAGACTCTAGAGTCCCTTCCTTCTTCCCCAGCTCTCCTTCTCGAAGCAATGGCTGTGGGGGTTGGGGGGTGGGGAGGAGATGCACCAAAAACTTGATCTTGGCCCTACAGTGCTGGCCGGCAGCCTCCCAACCTCGTTATGGCTTTATGTGTATCCCCGGAACCTGGCAGCAGTGCCCGGCACCAAGCAGATACTCAGTGGATGGTTGCTGAAGTGAGTGCAGCTGAGCCCTCTTTCCCCACCGGCTAGTATTCTCTCCCCAGATTGACCATGGCATGAGCAGGAGCTGGGATCGATCCCTGAGCCTCACCGTCCTGCCTCTACCCTCTTCTCCCCAAACCCACTCCCTGCCCGGACACCTGACTCCCTGAGCCTGCAGGGGCACCCTTCAATCTACCTCCTTCACCCACCAGGCCCGGGAAGCCCTTCTAAGAGGAAAGCTATGGCTCTGTTGATTCATACTTGAGACCTAGGAAAGGGACAGAACCCACTGCTTTTGCCACCTGGAGCCTCAGTTTCCCCATCTATGGCACGTGAGACTTGGCTATTGACCTCTGAGGGTCTTCTGAGGTCATGTTCTCTGAGCTGGCAGTTTCTGTCCCGGTCTTGCTCTTTCTCTCCAGGCTTCAACAATTCCCTTTGAATGTAAGTAAAATGGCAGTGAAAGTTGGCTCCCTCGAGTGCTGCTTTCTGTCCCTCAACGTGGGAGGGCGTGGGGGGGAAGGTAGGGATACAAGGCGCCATGGCTTCTTCACGCGTCCCTTAGCCTTCCTTCCCTCCTTCGTGGAATCTGGGCTGAGGGTAGCAGCAGAGGTCCCCAGAAGTCCCCAAGGAAGCCGTCCCGGGTACCCCACCACCCCACTCTAAACCTCGGCTATCCTCAGCCCAGGCCGAGGGGCCACCAGTGGAAGAAGGTAGACTGAGGCCAAACTCGCCACTCAGCCACCTTGACAGGGGCCTCCTGTTTGTGGATCCCAACGATGAGGCACGACCCTTCCACGAACGGTTTGTCCAGTACTGTCCCCAACATCCCGACAGCAAACCACGAACCTCCTGAGCCTCCTAGGGAAATGGCCAGCCATGGAAATGAGGCCAAAGCAGAGCTCCGTGGCGGAGGCTCAGGGCTAGCTTTGGTTCAGCCCTCACTTCCCTCCAGCACTCTGGAAAGGCAGTCATCCTTGATCATGCCCCACACAGAAAAGGAACCCAGCCTCAGCCCCAGCTGGGCGGCTGCTCGGGCCAAGAGGAGCCAGAGAACAGCGAGGCCCGCGCAGGGCCTTTCTGATGCAGCTCCAGACCGCCCTCGGCACGGAACACCCCCAGCCCCGGCCCAGGCACTCTCTAAAGCCACCCCCAGACCAAGCCCTGGACAGTCTGGCTGGCTGACCACCCTACCACTGCTCACCCTCCCCCATGGTCTTTGTGGGACCCCCCACAGGCCTCCTGCCTCCTCTCTGGGACTGGCAAGTTGGAGCCCCTTCTCCCCTCTCCCCAGGGCCCCACACAGCCCAAATGCCATGGGAGTTGTCAGATGGACGAGGTGGGTCACACTTGGGGCAGGGTGGGAGACATAAAGTGAGGGGTTCAGGAGGCCCCAGGTTGGTCCTGAGCTCCTGGTTGAGATAAGCACACCAAGAGAGGGCAGGCAGGGTCACGCTGTACAGGGCAGAGTGGGAGGGGGCAGGGACAGGGGGGCGCAGGGTAGCCTCCCGTTACTTGGCACCATCGTCTGCGTTGCCCTCGCCATCCGTCTTGCCCTCCTCCTCTGTCTTCAGGTCGTCCGTGCTCAGCTTCTGCTCTTTTTTCCTTCTCACACACTTGACCACCATCAGCACCAGGATGACCACAGCCAGGAAGCCCCCCACAGAGGCCCCCACGATCACTGCCACAGTGGAGTCCCGCTGTGGGGGCGCTGGAGATAGAAGAGAAGCAGACGGGCTGAGCAAGAGCCTCTCCCCGGTCTCCCCAAAGTAGAGTGGTCCCAAATTGATTCTTCTCCAGGCACAGGATTTTAGTCAAAACCAAAACCCAGGCCCCACATCAGGGGCCCACGCCTGTCATCCTAGCTACTCAGGAGGCTGAGATCTGAGGATCGTGGTTCACAGGCCGCACAGGCAGGAAAGTCTGTAAGACTCCTAGCTTTAATTAATCATCAAAAGGCAGGAAATGAATATGTGGCTCAAATGAGCACCAGCCTTGAGCAAAAAAAAAAAAAGAAAAAAAAAGCTGAAGGAGAACACAAGGCCGAGAGTTCAAGGCCCAGTATTGGCACCAAAATAAGAGCAAACAAAGAAACACACAGAGAAACACACACACACACACACACACACACACACACACACACACACACAAGCAAGAGACCTCTAGGGCCTCTACCTCCACAGAGCCTCCAGAGGAGACAGTAGGGTGGAGCGTTTAACAGCACGGACTCTGAGCCCAAACAGACCCAAGTGTGAGTCCTGATGATGCAATTTCAGAACTATGCAGCTCTCTCGCCTTGTTTTCTCATCTGTAAAATGGGGTTAATAATAGTTTCTCCCTGATGAAGTGCGGTTTTTTGTTTTGATTTTTGGCCAGTCATGGGGTTTGAACTGTGGGCCTGAGCACTGTCGCTGAGCTCTTCAGCTCAAGGCGAGCGCTCTACCACTTGAGCCACAGCGCCACTTCTGGTTTTCTGGTGGTCAATTGGAGATAAGAGTCCTACAGACTCCCACCTGGGCTGGCTTTGAACTACAACCCTCAGATCTCAGCCTCCTGAGTAGCCAGGATTAGAGGCATGAGCCACCAGCACCTGGCTTCCTGATGAAGTTTGATGAAGATAAAATAAGTTAAGGCATATAGAGGTCTTAGCCCTATGCCTGAGATAGGGTAAGTGACCAGACAGTAGAAGCTGCATTACTATTATTTTGTTTTTGCTTTGTTTTTGTCAGTTGTGGGGCTTGAACCCAGGGCCTAGGTGCTGTCCCTGAGCCTCTTTGTGCTCAAGGCTAGGGCTCTACCACTTGAGCCACAGCATCACTTCCAGTTTCTGAGTGGAGATAAGAGTCTCATGGAGATTTTTCTACCCGGGCTGGCTTCGAACTGCAATCCTCGGGCCTCCGCTCCTGAGTAGCTAGGGTTACACCAGCACTTAGCTGCATGACTATTATTAAAATGGGGATCAAGATCAATACCATCCTAAGGACTCTCAGGTGAGAAAAGCCCCAGGTTCACTTGCCCACACAAGCTGTTCCTCCATCCCCAGCCTTCCCGAAGTGCCTGAAGAGCTAACTGGGTGGAGGAAGTCCAGGGGCCCCAGCAGCCTGGCCCCCGGCCCTCACCTTCCAGAAGGACCTGCAGGTTGATCTTGCCGTGGCCTCGATGGCGGTCGGGCGGGTTCATGATGTAGCAGTTGTAGATGCCCTCGTCTTCCAGCCTCACGTTTTTCAGCGTCACTGACACATCGTACTTGCTGGGGTTCCCTGAGAACTCTAGACGGCCTTGGAACCGATCCAGCTTCAAGTTAATGATCTTCATTCGAAACTGGAGAAACTGGGGGACCACATAGGGCAGGAAGGATGGTTGGGTGAATAAGAAGCAACACGGGCCAGTGGCTGGCGGCTCACACACACCTGTAAGGAGGCTGAGATCTGAGGACGGCAGTTCAAAGCCAGCCTGGGCAGGAAAGGATGTGAGATTCATCTCCAATGAACCACCAGAAAACCAGACGTGGTGCTGTGGCTCAAAGTGGTAGAGCACTAACCTTGAGCAAAAGGAGCTCAAGGCACTGAGTTCAAGCCTCACGACCACCACCAACAACAAAAAAGAAGCTACAAGGACTGGGAGACACACCCTCCCCCAAGCACGCTCACCTAGCCAGAGACAGTTACCCCTAAAAGAGCTACCCAGGCCTCCCGTGGGTACCCAGGTACCCAGAGCTCTCAGGAGCAGACAGCTTACCCAGAGTCCTCTGGGGCTGTGTCCAGGACCAGAGCAGGTGAAGAGAAAATGGGTTTCATGCTGCAGGGCTGTAGGCTCCCCACCTCCCTACCCACAGGACTCACCATCTCCTCCGAGCAGTTGCTACACTCCTGGTAAGTCCAGTTCAGGGAGAACTGTTTGTGGTTCACGGTGTAGCAAGAGTTGAAGGTGCAGGACAGGCGGGCATCCGAGCCGTTCATGATGTTGAGCGTGGTGGGGACCGTGACTTCCATGCTCCGCCCCGACGGCACTGCAGACAAAGCCATGCGCTGAGGAGGATGCCGATGGGGCGGAGGAAGGCCCGGTCCTCTGTAACCACAGGGTGGCCACGGGGAGGGAGGCAGAGCAGGGCTGGGTCCCCTGTATCTGCACTTAGTCAGGAGCAGGGAGGCAGAGCAAATAGGGGACCGGATGTGGTCCTTACGGTCAAGGAGAGTGAGGAACAGATGGGGAGGGAGAGACACCAAACGGGATCCCCCCAGCCTCTTCTAAGACCATCGCCACACAGCCTGTCTACCTCACCCCTGTCTTGTCAAGGCTGCTTGCCAGCTGAACAAGGGGCTTCGTGGTGCTTGCCTCAGTTTCCCCCATTCTGCACCACTTCCAATCATCCTCAGTGGGCCAATGCCCTCTGTCAAGACAGAAGTCTTCATTTCCTGCTCTGACAGGCAGGAAAGAGGGCAGCAAGCAGTAAGAGGGGCAAGGTGACCCGGAAAAGGCCCCATTCCAAGGACCCATGGATGGTCTATAGGGACAGAAAACATTCTGGAGTTATCAGAAAACACCACAGCAAAGAGCTGGTACAGGCTGACCGGGGGCAGAGGAGACGCAGGAGGCAGAAAGTAGGTCCCACAGATTCTGTGAAGTCCTGGGTGAGGACTAGATATGGCCCAAGGCCTAGGTGCAGGAGCTGAGGAAGACTAGGTCTTCCTCACAGTAAAGCAGGGCAGAGTCTAGGGGAGGAAAGTGAGGTAGAGAGGACATGCCGTTGAAAGATGAACTGTTTTCAGGGCCAGGAAAACACCTCTTTAAATGTCACATCAGACAACCCCATTGCCTGACCCCATTCTCCTAGGCTTGACTCCAAGATTCTCACCCCCAATGACAAAATTAAGATGAATAGGGCTGGGGGTTCCTGGCAGAAATGAGGCCCTGAGCTCTGTGCCCAGCATAGTAACCATCAGCATCGTTCATTCACTCACCACATATTTACAAAGAATCCACCAGGCACTCAGTGCCAGGCCCTTTGTTAAGCCCTGAGGTTACCATGAGGATCACCAGGACATAGAGTCACTGCAGCCTGGGACTTGTATTTTGGTGAGGAGGACAGACCGCAACAAAGAAAAAGGAAGAATGTAGTTAGGAAGATTCACATGTGGTATGGCGTGTGAGGAGTTGCTATGGTCAGGGAAGATGAGCCCAGAGGACGGCATTCAGGCAGCGCCTAAGTCAAGGGAGGAAGCCATTAGAAGTTTGGAAGGAATCAGGTTCCAAGGCAGCAGGAATATAAAGGGCCACGTTCCCCAGGTTGGATGACCTTCAGACATCTGAGGAAGAAGCAGCGGAATGAGCAAGGTGGTGTGTGGTGGGGCTTGAGGTCAAAGAGAGGCAGGGACCAGGCCACAGGAGGCCAGAGCACAGAGTGGGAGGTGCTCTTCCTGGGCCACCCCCGTCCCTGGAGGGCCTGAGGGCCGGGCGGCTGGGGGAGAATAACGGCTGCTGACAGGGGAATGGCACGGAGAAGGAAGCTTCATTCCGCTTGGTTTCCATCTCAGCCCCAGCCTCAGTCATCTGGGAGAACGTGGGCAAGATCCTTCACCTCTCTGAGCCTCAGCCGCCTCCTCCGTAAAACCCAGCCGATGACACCCATCTCTGGGCTGTGATGATAACTAAAATAAGCAGTAAGTGTTCAGCAAGTGGTAACTGCTGTTCCCCTAAATTCTCCTCGGGAATAGGAAGGGTTTCGGAGGAGAGGTGGGGGAGGCTCTGGGCCTAAGGGCACCTTGGAGACTGCCTCTCCAGCAATCCCTCACAAAGCCCCTGGATCTGACACAAGGAGGGGCTCCTGGTTTGCAAACTGGCCCCACTGCTGGCCCCAGCCAGGGCTGCCTGCCCTGCAAGCCTGCAAGCAGAGAAACCAGAGCCTGCTCCGAGCATCCTTCTGCTCAGCCCATCCCGGCGGGCGAGGGGCCAGAGCAAGCAGCACAAATGGAGGACCAGAGATGATCTGCACTGCTCTGACTCTGGAAGTCGCTATGGAGCCCTGGCTAGAGGGACAGGTGATGCAGACCTGCAGGCCAAGGACTCCAGTTATGTGTTGAAAGTGTTCATCAGGGGAGCAGCCATCAGGAAGGCTGCGGGGGCCCCCAGGAGGAACAAAGCCCAGTTCCCTTCCCTGCTCTTTCAGATCCAGTCTGAAAGCACCTGGCACAGCACCAGCAAGGAGGAGGTGTACAGCACCACCCACTCTGCAGAGGCTGAGAGATCTGAGGGAAGGAGCTAATAAAGGTTTGTCCTGAGTTTACCTTTGCCCCAGGAATGCCATGCCTCTCTATCCCCTTCCCCTGCACGGGCCCTCAGCCCCTCTGCCCCTCTGCCCCTCTTCTCCTCCAGAACAAACTGCTCTGTGAAGATGGCTGGACCAGTGCAATCTACTTTCCTTGGGCTTCCTTCTCACCTCCGCAACCCTGGGCAGCACTCTGGTTGTGAACTCGAACCTCCTCCCTCCACCCCCAATTCACTTCATCCTAAGGAGCCAGCACTCTGCTGGGTAAGAGGGAAGAACTATAGGGAGGTTTCTTTTCTGACCAGCGGCAGGTGCAATGCGGGTCCTGCAGAAGACCAGGAGGGACGTGCATGCCCTCTAGTGGTGGTAGAGGTCAAACATCAAGTCCCATCTGCACAGAGAGGAAAGGATCAGCAAACTAGAGGAAGCCAGCCAGAGCAGGGGGGGGGGGGGGGGGGGGGGGAAGGGGGAGGGGCTTTCAGGGCTGTAGATCTGCTAAGAGGGGCCATCAGAGAGATGCCAAGAATAAGGCCAAGCTGACACCACAATAACTGTTCCTGTCTGTTAGTCCAAGATTCAGCCTATACCCCCAAACAGAGGCTCAGGGGGCTCAGGGGCAAGGCCTCAGGCCTTCTAGCTGTCTAGCATCTCATTAAAAAAATCAGGAGCCAGGCCCTGGTGGCTCATGTCTATAATTCTACCTACTCAGGCGACTGAGATCTGAGGATTGAGGTTCAAAGCCAACCTGGGCAGGAAAGTCTGTGAGACTCTTTTCTACAATTAAGCACCAGAAAACTAGAAGTGGAGCTATGGCTCAACGTGGTAGAGCACTAGCTTTGGGCAAAAGAGCTCAGGGACAGTGCCCAGGCCCTGAGTTCAAGCCCCACAACCAACCAAAAAGAATTTTTAATTAATTAATTAAAAATCACTCATGGTGGGAACTACGAACATAATCCTGGTCTCTTGGTGAGTTCTGCTGCTTCGGGAAGGTAACTTGGGGTCCACGTCACCTCCCTTAACAACAATCCTTTCCTGATGAGGAGACAGAGTGCAGAAATCAAACAAACAGCCCAAGCTCCCAGCTAGTAAGTGAAAAAGCTAGACTTTGAACTTGTGCTGCCTGGCTTCCAGACAGGATTGAGGGGTCTGAGCTGAGTAGAAGGATGGTTGCTATTCAGAGGTACCACAGGAATCAAGGTCTCCTGCTGCCCACAGGCAGGTCCGGCCCCAAACCTGCCAGCCCTCCCCCTTCTCTGTGCAACACTACAGCTGGCAATCATTCTGTTGTAAGGACCACCCCTTATGAGGACTCACCATCTTCCTAAAGTTCCTCCTTAGACTAGAACTGAGACCAGACCAGGGCCTGAGACTTCCAACTCACAGAAAGGAAACAGTGATCACAGAGAGGCAGTAAGAATGTGGTTTCTGGTCTTAGCTCCCTTTGTCACATAGGATCCTCGGCCCCTCTTCTCCAAGGCACATCTGCCCCCTCGGGCCACAGACACCCTCCCTGCCACCCACGGTTCCAACTGGCCCATCTTGCAGAGATCCTGAAAATTCACTCCTCTGACAAACACCATGTCTAGCAGAGACTGGAGTTAATTCTCCTCGGTTCTTCTGGCAATCTACAAGGTACATTCCTTTTGCTCTTGGTTTAAATTATACCTAGGCAGCACCCAGAACTGCTCCTGCATCCCAGGTGAGTGAAACATCTAGCCTCTCTTCCCTGTGGAAAGCTTCACCTGCCTGCCACCACTCAGACCCCCTGCCCAGGAGCTCCTCCCCCTGCCCAGCCCACCTGACCTCCTGCTTCCCACCCCCACTCCTCCAGGGGCTCCCTCCCTCTTCTGCTGCCAGGAATAAGTCCCAGCTCCTAGATGTGGCTTTCAACCCTTTTGCTGCTACAGGGCAGCCCACATTCCAGCCTCGACTCCGGTTTGTCCGTGTATGCTACACTCCAGTGACCCCAGAGTTGTGACTTTTCGTGTCAGCACCTTTCCTTCCCTCCTCCAGGCCTTGGCACGTGTTTTAGCTTCCAGTGGGAGGCTCTGTCACACTGCCCTGGGGTTCTCCCATGAAACCGTTACCTCTTGAGTCACAACGTGGGTGCCCTGTCCTCTCCCAGCCCTGTGTCTAGCTTTTCCACGTGACTTGGAGGCAGAAGAGCAAAGTGATCGAGACAGGGGTTCTAGGAGGCTTGGCAAGGTAGCTAAGTTTCCAGCACATCGGTTTCCTCATCTATAACACAAGGGACAATTTTAGGACTTAGGTCGGAGGGCTGTGGAGAGGATTAAATGACTTCCTACATAGAGAGAGCCTGGCATGATGCCTGGCAAAAGATGGCTGCTCTGATCACCATTGCTATGGCTCTTCCAGTGTTGCACATTGCCTGTGGACCCCAAGGGGCTCTGGGGAATGGCTTCTTATTCATCTGCTGTCCTTGGCATGTGGAGTAGTAGATAGCACACACCGAAGCACTCAATGGAATTCTGTTGCCAGAAAGGAAGACATTTCTTCCTCACTGTCTGCAATGTGCAGCCAGCTAGAGATGAAGGATACTGTATTCTATTTTCCAAACTATTTCCCAGACTTTGGTGACCAGGCCAGTGACTGCAAAGTCAATGTTCTTGAGAAAAACTCTAGAGCATACAGCATTCTGAACATGATGAACTAAAATCTAGTCTCTCTGTCATGAATACAGCCATCTGCCTCCACCTACCTCTCTTCACCCACTGTCACCCAGCATTTTAAGACATCCTTCCAGGCTGGGAAGGTGGCTCAGTGGTAGAGTGCTTGCCTTGCATGCATGAAGGCCTGGGTTCAATTCCTCAGTACCACATACACAAAAAAAGCCAGAAGTTGTGCTGTGGCTCAAGTGGTAGAGAGCTAGCCTTGAGTACAGAGAGGCCCAGGGACAGAGCCCAGGCCCTGAGTTCAAGCCCCAGGACCGGCAAAAAAAAAAAAAAAAAATCTTTCCGTCCTGGTGATCAAGCCTCCTGTCCACAAAACCTTTAGCCTTGAGTGCCAGGAGCACGTGACATCACAGCTTCAAGTTCAAGGCCTCCATCCCTGCACACACCGCCCTTACTCAGGTCTGTCAAAGCTTTTGCTTCCTTCTTCCAGCCCTCAGAGCCCTTACACCTTGATCTCTTCATCCCAAACTCCATCCCCTCCCAAGCCTGGACTCCTGGGCCTGATCCTGGAGCCTCTCACTCTCTTCGCTTAGGTATGGCTGCCCTCAGCTTGCTGCACCTAAAGGCTTGGTTTCCAGCTCTGGCTCCTCACTTGTAGGCCCTTCACCTCCCCCTCTTTCCCTCACCTGTCTTGGGTCCATTTCCATTAATATAGCAATTCCATTTCTTGAACATTGGGGGCGGTAGAGCCCAATGTTTGAGAGCATGTGCTGAAATCAGGCAAGTGGAGGTTCAAATCTCAGCTCACTTTATGCTAATCGTGTGATCTTAACTTCTCCGTGTCTGTTTCCTTCCTGCCACACTAATAATCATAGTAGCTACCTCAAATGGTTGCCGTCAAGACTAAACAAGACATGTCTTGCCTGAGCTGGTACAAAGCCTTCAGAAAGGTCAGCTACTGTTTGTCCTTGCTGGGCATCAGGTCACAAGCTCACTAGGCAGGTGACACCCCCAGTTACCAGAAGCTCAGAGAAGTTTAGTAACTTGCCCACAGTCATGAAGAAAAACAAAGGTGGCTTTAAACCCAGCTCTGATTCCAGCATTGCTATTCTGTTGTTAAATATGCCAAATAAGACAGCAAAGGTAACAGTTTTTATACAGGCTGCCAGAAGCTCTGCAGGTCTCTGTTTTGTACTTCTGCCCAATACCCACCAGACACTTAGACAGACAGACAGACTTGTCATTTATTCCCATCCACAATCCTTGGATTTGACCCTCTGTCACTTGTCCAGCAATGAGTAAGTTTAGGAGCAAGAATGAAACTATCTATAAAGCAGGCTTAAAAACAACTTTCTAGACCAGTCCCCCCCCCCGACCCCCAGGAAGTCTATAAATGATCAAATATGAAGTTGACATCAGGGGCCATCTTCGGGCCGGACAGTCTACGTGTGGTTTTAGAGGACCACAGCCTCCCTCAGGCCATGGGTTGGATTGTTTTCCTGGATGCCTTCTCTCTCCTCCTCCTCAGCACCTCGCCCAAGCCAGGGATGCTGCTTTCTCCAGGAGCACCAGCTCCAAGAGTCCTCCCCCGACACCAGACCACCCCACAGCCTGCTTCCCGCCTGCCCCCACATACTCCAACTACCCAGCCCGGAAGAGCTTCCAGAAGCCAGACCCATGCTCAACTTTTCCACCCCCAGCTCTCCCACTCCCGCTCAGCCGAAGGCTCTACATCCACCAGATCCCAAGAACCTGGTAGAAGTTGGTGGTTGTTGTTTGGTTTGGTTTTGAAGATGCCAGTTAGTCTCACATCCACAACAGTCAAAAACTTAAAAAATAAATAAATAGAACACCTTGAGGAGACTCTGTGGCTGGCCGGACTGCGCCCCACCCCCACGCCCGTCCACGATAGGGAAACCCAAAGAAAACTCACTGCCCTGGGTAATTTTTCACCCCTGGCCACACTCATTCCCTGACCCCACATTGCTGGGACCAAGGTAAGTGTGGGCATTCTGCAGCCCCAGCCGCGTCCTGTCCCCTGGGCGGCTCCTCCCTTCCCAAGGACACGGAGGGAAGCTCAGCAGCATCTCTTGGCCTCCCCCCCCCCACTCCTCTCCAGCTGCTGCACCTTTGAACCCTCGGAGCATGCAGAGGTGGGTCTAACTTACCCAAAGTGAAAAAGAGACTGAGCCCCGTGAGACTGAAGGCAGGGCGAGGTAACCAGGCGTCCCTGTGCATTTTCAGAGACTGAGGGTGGGCTAGGGGAGAGGGTGATTTGAGAGACCCAGGACCCAAGAGAGGAGTGGTTGATGCTAAAACGAAAACAAAAACCAAAAAAAAGAAAATGCACAGATGTACTTCAAAGATAAATATACAACATTAAGGAAGCTTTATTTCCATCTCTCTAATATGGCCGACTTATCTGTGGCTGCTAAAAAGAGAGGTGGAGGGGGGAGTGTATAGGGAGAGAGGGAGAAAAAAAAGAGGGGTGATGGAGTAAATATTGTGGTTAGTGGATTTCAAAAAGCAGGTGGGAGGGCATAAAAAGTCTTCCTAGAAAGAACTAAGTAGCCAGATATTTTTACCCTCTGAAATAAGAACTAAATCAAATCTTGCCTTTCTACTGCACTTGGATTAGCTTTTGGATTTCAGATAACTATTAGAGGAATCCATTTATTATTTCAAAGCTGCCTGTAACAGGGAAGTTCTTTTCATCATTTAAGAATCCCATCCTAAGCTGGGCGCCGGTGGCTCACGCCTGTCATCCTAGCCATTCAGGAGGCTGAGATCTGAGGATCATGGCTCAAAGTCAGCCTGGGCAGGAAAGTTCGTGAGACTCTGCAATAAACCGCTAGAAAACCAGAAGTGGTGCTGTGGCTCAAGCGGTAGAGCATTAGCTTTGAGCTGAAGAGCACAAGAACAGCACCCAAGCCCAGAGTTCAAGCCCCATGGCAAAAAAAAAAAAAAAAAAAGAATACCATCCTAGCTAGGTGAGCCTGGGTAGCTCATGCCTGTAATCCTAGCTACTCAGGAGGCTGAGATCTGAGGACTGTGGTTCAAAGCCAGCCCAGGCAGGAAAGTCCATGATATCTCCTATTAACCACCAAAAAGCCAGAAGTAAAGCTGTGGCTCAGTGGCTCAGGTGCTAGCCTTGAGCCCAAAAGCTCAGGGGCAGTGCCCAGGCCCTAAGTTCAAGCTTCAGGACTGGCAGGTACACAAACAAACCAAAAAGAACACTCTCCTAAAAGACCGCAGAAGGACAGAGTTGTTTGGGAAGGGTTGAGGAAGGAAGGTTGAAGGAAAGAGATTTTCAGGAAGTCTGACTTCTTTATTGTTTTAGCATTTCCACAGAAAAATGACGTAAAGTTTAAAAAAAAAAGGCAGGAACAAAAACACCTCTAAGAGATTTTATAATCAGATGTAATATTTGGGGGACTCCTGACTCAAACAAATCAACAGGAAAAAAAGACATTTTGAAGGCAATTGGGTTAAAGTGTTAGTTTTTATGAGATACTAACATCGTGGTTATGTTCTTTAACATCTTTACCTGTTGGAGATGCACACTGGAATGTTTATAGGTGAAATATAAGACATATGAAGTTTGTTCTAAAATATTCCAGGAAGCAAAAAAAAAAAAAAAAAAGGAAAGAAGGTAGGAAAAGTGGGTATCACCAGTAGAGTAGGAGTTTCTCATGATTTTGGGAAGGGCCAGGGAATCACTGAATGGGGCATTAAATACCTTTTTTTTACTCTGTGTGTGTGTGTGTGTGTGATGCTTGTACAGGAGCTTGAACTCTGGGCTGGCACTCTACCACTTAAGCCACACCTCTACTTCTGGCTTTTTGCTTGTATATTGGAGATAAAAAGTCTCTCAAATGTGCCTGCATAGACTGGCTTCCAGCAGATTCTCAGTCTCAGTTTCCTGCAAAGCTAGGATTGTAGGTGTGATATCGCAATTCAATCTTAACTCTAGAGTAGATTTCTGTTCTTCCTTCTTTTCCCCTGTTTCCTTTCTGCTTTCCTTTCCTTCTTACCTTTTTTTTTTCTTTTTGTCGGTGGGAGGGCCTGAGCCTCACACTTTTTCTTTTTTTGGCTGTTGTAGGGCTTGAACTAGTGCCTGGAGCTGCCCCTGAGCTCTTTCTCTCAAGGCTAGCACTCCACCACTTTCAGTTTTCTGGTGGTTAATTGGAGAAGAGTCTCATGGACTTGGCTGCTCTGGCTGGCTTTGAACCACGGGTCTTCAGATCTCAGCCAATCTTGAGTAGGTAGGATTACAGGTGTGAGCCACCAGCATCCAGCTTCCTTTCTTTCTTTTTAAAATGCAAATGATTTGAACTAGATGCTCCTGGGACTTAACCAGTTTACCCAGTTTACACCCACTAGGGCCTGGAACCAAACTAGGCTCTTTGCGAGATGCTAAGTATGACTTCTATCACCTTGGCAAGCAGACCAGGAATGCCCCACCCCCACAGGTGCAAAATGGGAGTCCCACATAGTAGGGGGGGAGGGGGGATCACAGACACAGGAACAGGGACACTCCAGGAGGAACTGAGGCACTGGAGAAGGAATGGGGAAAGAGGAAGAAAGTGATCTAGGCAGGGGATGAGCAAAGGGGGCCAGAACTCAGACACCTAGTAACCAGAAGGCAGAGGGGCTCGGGTCTAAGAGCCCCTGCATTTCCCCTGCCCTGATCTCGCACAGACTCAGCCCCAGGTGTCTGTCCCTTCTGGCTCGGAAGAACTGATCCACAGAATGCACACACAGGGGGGAAGGAATCCCAGGGAAAAGGAAGGATTAGCAAACAAAGCTGTCTCTTCCCCAGCCTACTCAGCCCTGACGGGTCTTCCAGCCGCTGAGCTCACAGGTGTGCCCGGAGGGCTAGGCTGGCACCATCCAAGCCCAAGCTCTGGCCCATGCACCACCAGCCGTGCAGCTTGCCTGCCGCTGGCTGCCGCAGACACTTTTCAGCCCAGTCCTATTGCCAGAGATTTTTGGTTTGTCGTAGCCGCCTCCTTTTTTTTTCCCCCTTGAAGGCAGTCAAGAGTTCCTGATGGATGCTTAGCTTTCCTTTCTCACTTGACCTCATCCTCAGTAAAGAAGCTTCGATTGTATGGTCAACTGAAGCAAGAAAGGAATCCAGAAGTTCTTGATGTTTCTCTCTAGAATGTGGCTCAAAGAAACTAAGTATCTAGACTAAGAATTACCTCAGTCCCACGCAGACCTTGCGAGCCCAGGGTCAGTGGGAGGCCGGTGAGAGGCAGGGCAGGTGTCCTGGCGGCAGCAGGCCAGCAGACACAGGAGGAGAGCTGTCCCGGAGACCCCTGTGGCCCACCTGGGTTTCCAAAAGCTCAGCCTTTCCTGGGGGCTATGGAATCTGGTAAGCAGAAATTGAAAGAGGTGTTTCACACACACCAGGATCAAAGATGGGATTTTATTTTATTTATTTTTTTTTTTTGGAGAGGAGTAAAGCCTTGTGGTTTTGGCATTTCTTCCTGGTGCCATTTATCACTGAAGATTGTATTGGACAGCACTCAATTACCTGCCCTGCTGGGGACAGCAGGGCAACAAAGAATCCAATGGAAAGCAGTTTCCTTTTAGCCTTTGGATTACCCAGTTGATTCTGCAGGTGTTTTCCTCAGAGCCGGACTTCTCCAAGTCCCTAAGCCCCATCCCCTACCACCAGAGTCACTGCTGTCCTCTGGGAACTCTGGAAATGAAGAGTCACAGGGCCCGCCCCAAGCCCAAGGAATCAGAATCTGCATTTTATTCGTTTATGTGTTTTGGGTGGTACTGAGGTTTGAATTTATGGCCTCCACTTGCTAGAGGGGCATTTTTACCACTTTAGTCATACTCCTAGTCCTCTTTGCTTTAGTTGTTTTTGAAGTAGGGTCTCATACGTTTGCCTCCTGAGTCGCTGAGATTATAGGCATGTGCTGCTGGGCCAAGGCCAGAATCTACATTTTTAAACAAGACTTCTAGGTGATTCCTGAGCATGTTAAAATGTAAAAAGTATCATCTTTAACGAATACTAAAAGGCCTACAAGAGGCAATAAAAAGCCAGGTTTTGGAGTTTGAGGGAGAGGAACAAACCTTGAGCTAAACGCCAGCCCCCATTGGTCTGTAGCACATACAGTAGCCTGCTCATGAGTTACAAGATGGAAATTCATTTTGCACAGAATATCACATGATAACTCTCAGCTGGGGAAGGCAAATGTAAATACCACAAGTTCTGGCTGCCAGAGTTGGTCTTTCCCTCAGGTCTGGGTCACAAAGGTTCAGTTACTTCTAGGCAGAAAACAGCTTTGAGTAGAAGGCAGAAATGGAATCATACATCTCATCCAGTACAAGAGAACTTCTCATTTGACCTCAATTAGTTACACTGTTTCACTCTTCTTATTACCTTATGCCATGCTCCTTTTGATTCAAAAACTTGTGTTTATGAATAACTTGCTTTAAAATACACAAGCAAAATGCTGGCAATCACACTGGTCTCTGCACTACTAGGTTTTCCTACATTAAAAAAAAAATCTAGCAGTCAGGCACTGGTGGCTCATGCCTGTAATCCTAGCTACTCAGAAAGCTGAGATCTGAGGATCACAGTTCACAGCCAGCCCAAGCAGGAAAGTCCATGTCACTTATCTCCAATAAACCACCAGAAAACCAGAACTAGTGCTGTGGCTCAAGTGGTAGAGTATTAGCCTCAAGCTGAAGAGCTGAGGGACAGTGCCTAGGCCCAAAGTTTAAGCTCCATGACCCATACACACACACACACACACACACACACACACACAAAACACAAACAAGATATCATGTCCAAGATGGATACCTGTCATGAAGCGAATATGTGCCAAATTCCATTGCTTGAAGAGATGCTCAGGTATCTATGACACCAAGTTTAGTGAGCAGCTCAACCTCAAAATCTCAGGGCCTAATTGATAAAAACAAACAAACGTAAATGTGACAGAATGTACCAGGTGTCATGTCAAAGGGGAGCGCTTATCTTAAGCACCAACCTATTTTTTCCCCATCAACACCCATGATCGTAGAGCACCCGTAGCACCTGTTATCAGATGTGCCGCTAACCACAACTGGGTTATGTATTATCTTTCTATCTTTCTTTTGCTTTGCTTTACTAATAACTTTTCTAAGTTTTCTATCTTGATGTATCTTAAAAATTCTTTTTGAGATAACATCCCAAACTCGGTACCCAAGGGTAAGGCAGAAGCCTTGTCCTTTCT